GCGCCACTCGATGTCCTCAATTTGTTGCTGAGGGATCAGTTTGTAGATGCCTTGGACAGTCCACAATTGAAGATACCAGTAAAGCAAGAACACCCCTCTACTATGCAAGATGCAATGGCCAGAGCTCTTGAATTCGAATCCTATGTTAAGTCCAGCACAGAGATACCAAGGTTGATACAGTCATCAGGATTCAAGGCCAGAAAAGGGTACTGTAACAAATCTGGGAACAAGAGAGCTCAGTGCTGGAAACTTCAACACAGGGAAGATGTCACGGCAGGAAAGGCTGCTACCCAGAGAGGTTGTTGGAACTGTGGAGAGCAAGGACATATGAGGAGCCAGTGTAAGAAAAATACTACCAATAAGTCAGCCTCGGGGAACCAGTAGTGGTTCGAGTTGAGGGACGCCTACCAACCCTCATTGTGAAAGTCCCAACATCAAGGTGTAAAATGACAAGCACACATAGTGTCTATGAGACAGGAAAGCTAGATGGCCAAAGGTGCAACTTTGTCATAGATTCTACATCTCAGCAAACCATTGTGAGTATCAAGATGCTAGATCACAAAGGATTACCGGAAGCCATACAGAAGCTCTGTGGTATGACAGGACATTCTGCAAGGTTGTGGGGCCAGTGTGGGTAACTATTGAGCTCATAGGCATGAAGGTTAGATACAAAGTATACTCGGCTGACATTGAAGACCCATGCATAGTAGGGTTGGACTACTTACTACAGAGGAAGTGTGTAATTAATTTTGATAAAACGACGTTTGGGAACAGCAAAGGCCAAATCCCGGTAAGTGTTAAAAGGGAGGTTGAACTAACCAGGTGTTATCAAGCTGAAGTCAAAGTGACTGAAGGAGTTGATGATGGTGAAGTGGAACCAAATATAGATATTAAAGCAGAACAGGAGAAAGATTAAGATTTGAAGCCAATAATTGATTTTCTACAAGCAAGTGTTTTGCGCCCTGCTTGGGCGAAGGTGTCTAGCTTAAGCCCTGTGACAAAGAACTATTGAGCACAATGGGACCAGTTGAAGTTTGAAGATGGTATTCTTGTCCGGAGATGGGAAAGTGACAACCTGGTAAACAGTTATACCGAGAAAGTTATGGGAGGTTGTGCTGCGTCAGTCCCATGATAGTTTAACATATTGGAGTGAAGAAGACATTGAGTCACCTACGACAGAGATTTTACTGGATAGGTATGAGGCAAGATGTAGAAGAATGGTGAAGGACCTGCAATAC